TGATGTTTACTTGAGGCCTTTGGTTAATGAGTTGAAAATGTTTGTGGTCCGAAAGAGTCCAAATGAGAGATGCATCAACAAGCATATGGCAGTCTATTTGGATGGAGTGGTCAAGGTTATTTAGCATGCCCTCCTTGTAATGAAGACACATCTTCCATTTATGTGACCAACAAGATGCCTTATGTTGGTCACAGACGATTCTTAAATATGAACCAAAGCTGGAAGAAGATTCTATTGTTTGATGGTCAACCTGAGACAAGACCGCGTCCAAGACTATTTAGTAATGCAACTATATTATAACAATTAGCTCATCTCTTTGATCATTCCAGGGAAACATCCTAATCATGGGGGTGAAAAAAGAAAGCACGATGATGAAAGAAAAAAAGAGAGAGTTGAATTGGACGGAACGAATTATCTTCTCTGAGCATGAGTATTGGTCTTCCCTCGACCTAAACCACAATTTAGATGTTATGGATGTTTCGAAAAATGTGAATGAGAGTGTGTTGAATACTACACTGATGAACGATAAAAGAAAAGACAGAAAAAAGCTAGAACTGACTTGAAAAGTATAGGCATTCGACCAGATCAATGGACAAAAGAGAAAGTCAAGAAAAAGAAGAAGAATGACAACAACAAGAAGAAATAAATACTCCCACATGCTTCTTACTCTTTCAAACCAATTGATCGACAACGTTTTGTCAATTCATTAAAAGAGTGAGACTATCTGATGGTTTTGGATCGAACTTTAAGCAGAAGGTTAATGATATTGAATCAAATTTGGTTGGGCTGAAGTCTCACGATCATCACATCCTCATGCAACGATTGCTATGTATAGGGGTTTGAGCAGGTCTCCCACCAAATGTTTCAAAAACAATCATTGACTTGTGTACATTCTTTAAAAAAAGTGTGCACGGTCATTGGATGTTAACGACATGAGAAATGCCAAAGCAGAACTGGTGAAGATCTTATGCAATCTTGAGTTGATATATCCTCCAATATTTATCGACATAATGATTCATCTCGTTCTTCATTTACCTGAAGAAGCCTTTCTTGGAGGGCTTGTACACATGATATGGATGTATCCTTTTTAAAGAATTATGAAAAACGTAAAAATTATGTCAGAAACAAAGCCATGCCAGAAGGTTCAATAGCAGAGGGTTATGTTGCAGACGAAGCTTTGACATTATGATTTATGTATCTTGAGGGTATGGAAACTAAATTCAACCGTGCTGATAGAAATAATGATCCCGACCTTCCAAAAAGGCAATTTTATGTTGTCTCATCACAATGTCGAACAATGTCGGCTAAGAAAATCGCCGAACTTTGTAAAGAGGCCAAAAAATCATTGCATTGGTTTGTACTAAACAACTGCGATGATGATGAGATGAAAGGCTACAAACCGTAAGTTTTGTGATCTATTAACTATATTTTTGACAGTGTTATAATATATTTTAACTATTCTAATTGTTTTGTCCCACATCCAGTGAATTCAAATTAGAATCGTCTGAAAGTGATTTCAAAAAGGAATTTCTTTCATGGTTAAAAGGAAATAAATATGTTATATATTTATAATGTAAAATTAATGAAAAACTAATTTATTAATTAAAAGTACAATCTTATATTTCCTTACAAATTTATCGTCTCTAAAAATATATGCCTTCGGACTGTACCGTCGATATAAAGGCGCTGACATATGGTCCATTGAATACATATTCTTACACTGCATGCATTGTAAATGGTGTTCGATTTGTCGTGAGTAGCCATGATCCCTGACGCACTACTCAAAATAGTGGTGTTGAGAAGACGGTACACCATTTTATGGTCAATTAGAGGACATCATAGAGTTGCATTATTTATACGGTAACTCAGTTGTGCTCATTCTTGGTAAATGGTTCAATGCGTCATTACGTAATGGACATTTAAAGACTATAAATAATACGAATTTTATCGATAAACAAGTGTTTTATCACAAATATCCTACTCATAACAATAACCGGAGAGTTGTGGAAGAGGTTGATCATCGAAAACTTTGGGATCATCCAACTATCGGTGTTGTTAATGAGATAGATATTGTGAACGACACTCGATCAACTGATTTTACGTTAGTTATCGACTTAGGCACCTTGCCTATGCAGACGAATTTAGGTGAAGTTGGTGAATCAAGTGTGACTATTAGGAGGAATGTTGCTCCTGCTATAAACGATGACGATTTCATTAATGATGACGATGAAAGTGATGATATGTACTCTTCAGATGAAGAAATAAAAAAAAACTATGACAACGATGATGATGTTGTACATGTATATTGTTCTAATGATTATTCAGATTGACGGTATGTTACGATTATTATATATCCTGATTGCTTATAATATTTGTTAATTTTTAAAATGTTTCTTATTTATAAGTTTCCTTTTTATATACTTTGAATGTTTATAATATTTGTTAAAAAGATAACAAATGTCGCGAGGGGACATGGAGGAGACGGTGGGGATAGACCTCCACATGGTGGTGAACGCGGTTTACCATCGGGTTGCCAATCTTATAAGTTACATGAAATACTTAAGTATTGGATATATTTTTAAAGTTTTAAATTTCTAACTTTCAACTTCTATGTGTAAATGTAGCACACACGAAGAATGTGAATGTACGTGACAAAGGAAGGAATTTAAATTTGTACGATGGGTATGAAGATAACAGTATGAAGCCTTTAGTCGTGGACCTTGATACCCCCGGGAGGACATATCGATTCATGGGGGAAAACGGGCAAATGTTTGTTAGATTGATCTCAGATCTGATGGGATAACAGGTATCATTGCACTATCATAGTTGGCGCCGTGTTCCTATCGAGTACAAAAATACTTTATATCCTGAGCTAGAAGTAAGTATACAACACTTTTTTTATATGTATTGAATTTTACACTTACTAAATATTTCTTTTACCAATCAATATGTTTTTTTTGCAGACCTATTTTGATCTTTATAGGTATCGGTTACAAATTTATGGGAACCCGTTCGAGTGGGTACCAATCCGATATGCAAAGAGCGTATCGAGATCGCAAGCATGACATGAGAAAACATTTTGACAGAGTCAACAGATATGACAATGTGGAAAGGGCAAGAAGACATCCACCGACGGATTGGTCCGCGATACTTGAAATAAAATGATTGATTTGTTGTTTTTGACATCGGAATATATACGCACATCGGTAAAAAATAAATCTACTAGGGCGAAACTTCCGCATACAAGTGCTTATAGTTCTAGGTCGTATGCTCAACGACGCCATTTAAAAGTAATAAAATATATTAGTATTATATAAAATTGTTATTAACAGTTGTATAAATATATTTATTGTTTTTGACTTATTATAGGAAAAATTAAACAAGGACTGAAGCCGAAACATATTGAGGGTTTGAGACAGATGCGCTACAAGGAAGACTCGGGTTGGTGTACAAGTCGAACACAAAAAGATTGGGTAAGTGATAAACGAAATTAATATGTTGTTTAAATATGTTATTATTATTAATTATTATTTTAATGTATAAATTTATTTGTTTGTTTAAATTTTTATTGTTTTCTTTATTTTAGGAGAAGATTCAAGACGAATATAAGAAAATGCAAAGCGAGGTCGGGAAGGCGGAGATGTAGATGGGGAACATTGTCTCGCTCGTGCCCTCAGGACAACATGCGGACATGCTCACAGAGTGAGTAGGAGACCAACCGCCAACTTCAGTCTACTTCCAAATGAACGGGCTTCTGCATCTTCCCAATCTCAATCCCAATTTAATGCACAACAAATGCAAGAATACTTGCAACAATATAATAAACTCCTTGGCGGCATGTATTTCTAACTTCCAACCACCACCATATCCTAGCTTTCTATTCAATTCCAACACACAAGGAAGTACCTCACAAGGAAACACCTCTCAAGAAAATGTCGAGCCCGAGAGGATGGAAGAAGAAGAAGAATATGATAATGATGGTTAATGTTTTGTGTTATTTTGAACAATGTTAGCTACTTGAATTTGGTATATAGTTTGGTATGTAATATTAAACTTGAATTTGAACAATGGTAGCTAGTTATTGTATCTTATTTGATATATGCTGCAAAATGTCTGGATTTGTTAAAAATACAGAAATGGTAAATTTACAAGATCTGTAAAAATTAAAGAAAAAAACTTCCAGTGGCTATCCGACGATATGTCGTCTCTATAGCTAAAGAATTGATACTGTGCCGACGACATGTCGTCGCTATAGTTTGTATCTACACCTACGACAAGTCTTCACTATACCCATCCTGACGACATGTCGTTGCCACATGTATTTAATAAAACTTTAATTTTTTTCGAAAATCATTCTCGACGGATCCTACGCGGACAACTTGTCGTCGGCACGACGACTATTTCCACCTATCACGACTGTTTGTGCCAACGACATGTTGTCGGTATACCCTAGCCCAATGACATGTCTCGGTAAGTACAGGTTCATAAAATGCCGTCGCCATTGGGTGTTAGGTGTTGCAGTGATATGTTCGGTATATGCCCATGCAAACCCATATTGGCTGTTAAAAGAAAAACATGCCATATTTATGGTCTTCATTTGCAGAAGTTACATTGTAAAATAATAATTGTAGTGCTTCAGTGCACTAAATTGTTATACGTGAATTACTAAAGGAAAGTATCTTTTGCATCATGCATGTTTTGGATTTTATGCAAGCCGAATAAAACAGGTTATATATGTTTCTGTTATGAATATCTTTAGATGAATTATGTGCAAGAATGTTTAATGATTTTGTGAATATTGTCATCGTAATACATATACTTATATCAGTATTATGCAAACCATTAACTCAACCCATAACAACTGCATTTATACGAACTGGAAAACCTGAACTACTAACATAAACAAATATATACATATAATCACCAATAAGTAACTAATAACTACTTCCAAATACTGATGCATCCTAGCTGACAGTTTAATTCACGAAGAGCATGCATATTCAAACCCAAATCCCTTTGAGAAGGGCATTTGTGGATGAAGTCTCTCCAAAAGTGTTAAGAAGGTCGGAGCAAGAAGCATCCTGTGTCTCTTCAACCTCGCTCTTCAACTCCAACCCAAGCTCTTCTTCTATGTCGTCGGATGCTGATATCAGCAAAAACTCGCAACCTTCATAGTTTAAAAAGTCAGGAGGGTCTGCAGCATGGTAGCGTAATTTCCCAAACTGTCCTTGCAGGTGGGCAGGGAACACCGCTCTTTTCTTCTTATTAAGTCCCCTAAACTGTCCTTTCTGGGTCGGATTCTTTATTTGTATAAGGAAAGAGGCCTCTTTCTCGATGTTTAAAGCCTCTTGTGGTTCATTTTTCTCTTCTTCCGATGGGAATTCTAGCTTGTAAATCAGATGGGTGTGCATCTTCTTCCCGCTGTGATGCCTTAGTATGCGGTATATGCCTTCCCCTACTGCTCTTGCTGCAGCTTTGTGCCTGTGTCCACTCTTCGCAGTATCATATTCCCCTGTACACCATAAGTGTATGTTTTTATTTTTCAAGTAAGCAGAAGATCATCCGTATACATATTAACAAATGTAATATTGATCCAATTTAACCTCCTTTAAGAGCATCCTTGACATCCTCAATCTTAGTGGTCACCAACTCTACGAAGCCCCAAAGCGGCCTGCTCTTCTTGGTTGGATCCGGGAGCTTCTTCTGGCCCATGACAATGAACCGGAGGAGTGAATTCTTCTCTATGTTTACCTCCTAATAGATCAAGTTAAACTTAGTCAGGATGGAGTAATATCAACTTGAATTAATGACAAAAAGTCGTTTGGTAGCTAAAAAGCACACCTGGGAACCATGGCCACCTTGAGTAGGTGGTGGGTCGTTTTCCTCTTCTTCTACTTCTTCATCTTTCTGCTTGACTTGAGTGGGCGTCTCCCCAGATTCGGGTCTTAAAACTATGTACATCCGCTGCACATCATCGGAGCTATGTGCTTCTTCCTTATTTACTTTAGGCCTGTAAAAGAAATATATCTCCCCTCTTTCCTGGATGCAGTTGATCGATCGATTGTTTAATTAAACACACGCATAAACACAAAGGGAATCCCAGTTGCGGTAAGTACCGGTGGCTAGTTTACCTGAATCTCGACCTCCGGTGGGCTTCTGGTGTTTACCTCTTCTCCTTGTCCCATTTCCACTATCTTCCACTGGAGCGGTGATCACTGATCAGTGTGCGAATCCAAGACCAGACCCAAATATCTATATTATAGCTTATATATAATGGGATTACTTTCTTTTTTAGCTACACGTATCACTCCTCCCACCACGTGTCCCACAACTTGTGCTACTCCCTTTTTTGTTTTTTTTATTGATATTTATTTATGATATGACTAGGTTATAAACGTATACTATAAGGAACAACTTAAAACAACGATTAAAACAGCTTTAGTTAATATATATATATATATATATATATATATATATATATATATATATATATATATATATATATATATATATTAAAGAAACGAAAGTTAGGAACAGTAAACTGTATGAGGGGTTGGTAGAATGGGTCCTCTGATTGATTATGGTGGGGTTGCAATTGTTTTTTTTTCTTTTAGGGTCATATTTTGACATTTTATTATTTTATTACCTGATACCTTGGACACGTGTTATTAATTCTGGATACCTTGATTTGTGGGCTTTTTCTTGAAGGTTCTCGCACCGCTTATCCCATCTAATCTAATTCTTTCCTTCTTCCTTTCTCATCGCCGCTTTGTCTTCCCCCCAACCCCCCTCCCTATCGCACCAGAGAAAATGGTCCTTCGTGTTGAAGAAGGCGACGTTGCCATCACCCGCTTCGTTATCGCCCTGATATGTGTTCTTTATCTGCAAGGTTTTCAATTTAAGAACCCTAGAAAGGTACATAATTATCCTTCTCCACAGTTTCTTCTGTTCGTATCCTCCGGATGAAAACAAACGATCTGAAGTGGTGAGAAAGGACATCGGTTCACCACTTCAAACCGGAGGTCGTGGGTCACAGAGCGCGGATTGTGCAGACTGCCGACGGTTTTTTTTTGTTGGCGATGGTAGTACCGTCGACTTCTTCAACTTTTGAGTCATCTTCGTCTAATTCATCTTCGTCTACGGAGAATTTTCAGTAATCTTCCAATTAATTAATAATATATTTGAAAACAATTATTTCTCTAGAAATTTAAATGTTTTATCTGTAACAGTATAATTGTTGTGTATAATTGTTGGTAATTTAAATTAATTTTGAAATATGTTTTGAAAATATGAGCAAGTTCTCTATGTTAAGATTAATAATAAAACGACTGCGTTGTATAATTAATATCAATGAAGGTAGTTTATTTGGTACAAATAACCTCCAAATTAAAGGTAGAGAATAAGGATGTCCTCAAGTGAACCTCTAAATTAAAAATACATCTTATATTGTTTTCAAATAAAAAATAATAATATAATTAAATTAGGTATTTTTGGTAAGCTTTTTCTAGAAAATCGAAATTCATAAATCAAATATGGAAGCATTTGTATTTAGGCCGGTGAATTTGGAGAAAAAAATGGATGTTTACACTTTTTAAAGATTGAAATCGGAGTTTTCATTTTAGATGAACTCAAACAATCCTTAATGTCAAGGTCTCATGCAGCAAGATTTATAGGAAATAAAATTGGAGACTTTTATGAGTTGTCATCCAAACATTGTCACCATGACCAAATGCCTATCGACCATGAGATGAAATTATATGTTTTCTGTATATCTATGTTTGATATGGGAAAAAACATGATTGTAAAAAAGATAGGAATAAATAAACACTTAGATTATAAGGAAACCAATACAAAGCTTTTAAATCAAATAAGGAAGGTTTACATATCAGGATTGTCACATCCATAAGACCATAACAAAGGAGATAAATTAGTGAAACCACTATGTTTAAGAAGATGGAATGAGGGAACACAATAATCTCTTTTGAAATCAAACTGCAGATCTCAAAATACAAAAATATATCCTCTTAAAAGAATACAATTTAAGTATTTTCAGATGAAAATAAACCCATTATGCTTTTAACTATATAGACAAATGAAATGTAATGATGGAAAATTAGAATCAAACATCGGAAAGAGAATAAAAAAACCTCAAAACTATAAAATTGAAAAACATAACTGATGAAAAATCAAAATCTAAACAAATTAAAACCATAGAACCAAATGATAAAAAAATTTCTGATTTTAACCTCTTTTTATACACCATAGTTCTGCCAAACTTCTAAAAATACATATCCTTCAAACAAACAAAATTTCAACATAACAGTTCACGAAACATTGAAATCTTACTCTAATGTCAAAGGTAACGTTCTTTGCTTAGCGATTCAACATAGAACAACTTGAACGGTTGAACCTGGGAAATCAAATATGGTAAGGAAGAAACCAAAAGCAATGGGAGTTATTGTATGTTTGTAACAATGGAAAGAGGCATATAAGTTTTATATCAACAAATTATATATAATCGAAATTTAATAAAGACTTCTCACCTACGAACATTTTGTGTGACTTTGCTCAGGGAGATGTCTCCTAATGATCCTTCAAAAGTCCATTAATTGAGATTAAATCAAGAAATGAAAAGAACCCTAATATCAACCATAACTGTTGTTCCAATGTATCATGCCTTGAATCATCTTACTGCTAAGATCCAAAAAGCCACACACAAATATTATTAGTAACCAAATCAACATCCTTCATAAAGCACTATATAGAAATAATCAATGTTGGTAGGCTGTTATGGCTAGCTATTTAAAAAAACTACTATGTTTCTCATCGGAGGAAATAAATTACATGTCTTCCATATGTGACCATCGTATGTAGTGACGAATCTAGAACCAAAAACAACGTGGTTCCTTATATAAATGAAACTAAAAAAATATGAAAGTGTAAAAAGTACTAGTGGTGACTGGTCGGGTTGTATGCTTGGTCGTTCAAATGGATCAATAGGTAGTGAGTTTAAATCAACTTTCGTATATTTACGTTGGTGTTCACTATCTTTTTTCTTTTTATAAAACTTATACAAAGACATTTTTGAATGATTGAATCTTGATTCTTGATTTTGAAATTGAATGTTCTTATATCAAATAGACAATAACAATTTAACAACTCTAAATAAACAATAACAACTAACACATTGAACGTATATTATATCAAATACACAATAACAACTCTAAATAAATTCTGAAATTGAATGCATATTAATCAAATGTTAGCATAGAAATTTTCTGTAATCTGATCAATAGGTAAATGAAATTAATATGTATTATATAATCGTTAATCATACAAAGCCACAAAGGGTTTCGATTTTAAACAAAAATAAATTTGTAATCTAAAATTGTATAACTTACAAACCTGAAACGAGGTTGTTGGTTGAGTGTTGAGGGAGAAGAAACTAATGGGCTGGGCTGCTGTCGACTGTTGCTGGACGGCTGGAGGAAGTCGACGTCGATGGCCTGGCCTGACAGTGACTGAAGCAGCCGACGATGATGATCGATTGCGGAACAGGGGATAGGCCGGCAACGAGATGCTAAGAACGAGACACCATACGACGTTCGGTTTCTTATTTTCTATTTCTTTTTTTTTCTTTTTTTAAAAAAAATAATAGATAATTGGATGATTGGGCTATTGATTAATAGATGTGGGCTTTTAAATATGAAAGATATGGGCCGTTGATAAAAAACAAAAAAGAAATTAGGTATTTCATTTGATAAAAATAAGGTAGGTCCTTATTTTTTTTATACATACTTAATGCTTTAGAAAAGAAAAGAAGGTAGGTCCTAGGACCTACCTTCTCCCTCTTTGCCTACGCCACTGATCGTATGAAGAAGGTTTTGGAGATGAAGATTACTTGGAATCAAGATTCAGAGGTGAACGTGACTTACTTCGAGTTATGAAGTTTCAAGAAGCCTTTTCTTTTCTTATACACCGTTTTGTCGCTTGATATGGTAAGTATGCAGGTGGTGGCGTTGATGGTCGAAGACGAAGGGAGTTGATGAGAGGGGGAGTCCTGTGTTTTAAGAGAGAAAAAGATTGGGTGACCGGAGGCCATTTTAAGGAAGGCATGGTTATCATAGGAAGACTGTGGTATTACCGAGATTTACTATGCAAATCAAAAAATGTTTATTGTTGATGCAGATCAAATTGATTGGAATTCAAAATGTTTATTGTTGATTTATTGGATTATGTAATCGTTTTTAATTTTAAGGGCTGGTTTTTAGGGATGAATCGTGGTTGAAGGAATTGGCCAGAATAAAAGTAAAAGGTTTATGAGAAATTGACATGTAACAATTAAAGGTATAGAAAAGTGACATGTTGCATTTTATAGGATCCTTTTTATTAGAGAGGTAGATTTTCATAAAATCCAATATCGTGGTAAAATTCATTAATAGATATTTGAGAGTAGTGTTTTTGTTATTTAAGTATAACTTCTTATAAAATATAACCAGTTTTTTTTAATGCAAAAATACGGCACCCATTAAATTACACTCCTAAATTATCATTTCCATACGAAGGGACGAAATTTTTGTATATGTATAAAAGATGAAATAATTCAGAGGGAATTATATTTAATTATATAATAGGATAATGACTTAAAAGGGTAATATATTTTTTGAGTTGTATACATTTGGTTATTGAGGGTTTTTTTTTTTTTTTTTTTTTTTTTTCATATTTGACCATTTACCTTGTTTTTTTGTTAACATTTAGTCCTTATAACCGGCTATTCCAGGTTAAGCTGAAAAACGACTTAATGGGGTAATATATTTTTCAGTTTGTACACATTTAGTCCTTAATATTTTTGTATACATTTGGTCCTTATGACCGGTTTCTTCAGATTTTGGTCACGACATCCTACATGTGACAATCATTAATGTTATGTTCTCATACGTGGCAGGTGGCCCATACTTCACTTATATCAGTAACCTAATTCATGAATAAGTCAAATAATGTTGGTGCCCTAGTTTTCTCCTAACGGGAGATGTCTTCGGATTCAGTTTCATCTATCTCCATAGCAGATAACGATATTCTTTGTCTTCGAAGTGTAAATTCAAGTTGGGAGGAAGCAATCACACAAAATCTCGGTGTCTGCTATAAAGATAGATGAAACTTTTTGCCAAGGTGTTCTTTTGTCTTG